AGGGGAGAAAGGGGAGAAAGGGGAGAAAGGGGGAGGTGGGGCCGGCGGTGGGGCCCCGCTGGGGGCGTCCGTCCCCGGCCCGGCCACACATGGTTGCAATGGGGGCGGGGGCCTCCCCTGCTGCCGCGCCCCGCCGCGCCCCGCGCCGCTCCGGGCGGTACGTGTCCGCAGCTAGGGGCTGGACGTGCGGGCGGGACACGCCCGGGCTGCTCACGCGCTGCTCGAGTCGTCCGTTCCTTGTCGCGGAAAAAATTGTGTATACTACCGGTCCCGAACCCGGGACCTGCCGCTTCCCACATCATGCTCTTTACCACTGAGCTACCGGAGGACCATGGTGCTCGCTATGCCAGCGCTGGTACTGAATCCTCTCCGGATAGACCTCCTCAAGAAGTTTGTTGCCGTTGCCGAAAAATTTGCTCATGGCACTAGTCTCGAACCCGAGAACTGCCAGTCTGGAACGCAGCGTTCTAACCACTGCGCCACCAGTTTGCTATGAGCGCCGCTCTCCTAGCGCCGAACTTATAATTTGTCCAGCATCAAGCAAGATGGGTGGCTATTCAAGTTTGGCGCTAGGTGGGTGGTGTGGACAGTAACCTGATGGCGCAGTGGTTAGAGTGCTCCGTTCCTGGCTGGCAGGTCTCGGGTTCGAGACTAGTGCCGAGCAAATTTTTCGGCCAACGGCAACAAACTTCTTGAGGAGGTCTATCCGGAGAGGATTCAGTACCAGCGCTGGCAGAGCGAGCACCATGGTCCTCCGGTAGCTCAGTGGGAAAGAGCATGATGTGGGAAGCGGGAGGTCCCGGGTTCGGGACCGGTAGTATACACAATTTTTTCCGCGACCAATTGCTTGGGGGGTATATCCAGAGAAGATTCGGTACCTGCGCAGGCAGAGCGGGTGCCATGGCGTCCCGGTGGCTCAGTGGTTAAGAGCATGTCGCGGGAAGCGGGAGGTCCCGGGTTCGGGACCGGTAGTATACACAATTTTTTCGGCGACCAATTGCTTGGGGGGTATATCCAGAGAAGATTCGGTACCTGCGCAGGCAGGGCGGGTGCCATGGCGTCCCGGTGGCTCAGTGGTTAAGAGCATGTCGCGGGAAGCGGGAGGTCCCGGGTTCGGGACCGGTGGTATACACAATTTTTTCGGCGACCAATTGCTTGGGGAGGTATATCCACAGAAGATTGGGTACCTGCGCAGGCAGGGCGGGTGCCATGGCATCCCGGTGGCTCAGTGGTTAAGAGCATGATGTGGAAAGCGGCAAGTCCCGGGTTCGAGACCGCTCCAGGTACCCTTTTTTCGGGACCAGATTTCTCGAACGGCAGCTCAAGAGGAGTTGCGACATCGCCGCCGACAAGCTGGTTCGGTGGCTGAGCGGTCAGGGTAGAGGAGTTGACTAGACTCGGCACTCGGGGTCGCGGGTTCAAATACCCAATGTGACCCCTCTGAGGTAAGGCCTCTGAATCTGGACTCTCACTGTACCACAGAAACCGCGCGCACTTCGGGTGGGCCAGCCCAATACGAACTCCACTAATCTGTCGAATTGCGCGGCAGGGATGCGTCGGATGAAGGCCCGGTTCCCATAAGAACACCGAAGCTGATCGGCGGGTCTCCTTGAGACTTTCGTATTGCCACTTCTTGCTGCCGATTTTTTCCATGAAACGCACTGCGGGAATGGCGCATCATTGCCCAGCGGTACAATGTAGTTCAGTGTGCAAGCTACCAGGTGCGAACTGGTCTTACTTCGGCGTCTTGGGCCCGCCGAGACTCGTTTCAAGGACCGAGAGCCCCAAACATTCCGAACCGTCCTGGAAACGGGTGACAAACGTCGCCAATGACACCCGTTTCCAGGACCAAACGGCAAACTGGTTGAATTTCGCCACTCCCGTCCTGGAAACGGGTGTCCGGCTACCTCAGGGACGCGTTACGGTCCTGAATCTTTCAGGACCAAGTCTAACCGTGTGGCGCTCCCTCCAGCTTCCTGGTGCAGCTCGTCCTGGCTGACATCAGGGCTTAACGAACAGTCACTCCTCATCGGCCTAAAAGACGGCACTTAGGAGAAAACGCGACGGCCGTCTGAAGGTTGAAATTGACCCCTTCCAGCATAGAGTGACCCCACCAGATGACAGTGACCCCGCCAGATGACAGTGACGCCGCCAGATGACAGTGACCCCGCCAGATGACAGTGACGCCGCCAGATGACAGTGACCCCGCCAGATGACAGTGACGCCGCCAGATGACAGTGACCCCGCCAGATGACAGTGACGCCGCCAGCATAGAGTGACCCCACCAGATGACAGTGACCCCGCCAGATGACAGTGACGCCGCCAGCTGACTGGGACGCCGCCAGCCAACAGTGACGCCGCCAGCCGCGAGTGACGCCGCCGGCCCCGAGTGACGCCCGCACCCGAGTCGCCACGCTCCACTGACTCTCCCCACACTTCTTCGACTACTTTGCCTGAAAAGAGGCCCTTAGAACGAGAGCGTCGAGCGGCAGGAGGGCTGCCATTTAAATTATCGCACAGCCATTCATATTATCGTACCGCCATCCAAGTTGTCGTACAGCCATCCAAGTGATCGTACCGCCATTTAAATTATCGCACAGCCATTCATATTATCGTACCGCCATCCCAAATATCGCACAGCCGTCCCAAATATCGTACCGCCATCCATGTTATCGCACAGCCCGCCTAAGTGATCGTAACGCCATACAAGTGATCGTACCCCCCAATCCATGTTATCGCCCAGCCCGCCCAAGTGACGTGCAGCCCGCCGAATAATTTTCGTTGAGCCCACTGACTTGTCCATCAGCCACCCGAGTGATGTCCTCTCTCTCTCTCTCTCTCTCTCTCTCTCTCTCTCTCTCTCTCTCTCTCTCTCTCTCTCTCTCTCTCTGTTAACTCTTTTGATGTCTCTTAAAATCTCTTCATGTCTCTGTGTCTGTCTGACTCTTAATAAAATACTTTCATGTTCCTTCTTTTCATTATGTCACCATCTCCCTGTTCATTCCTTTGATGTCCCTATTCCTTTAACTGTGTCACACTCTCTCTCTAATTATTCTTTTGATGTTCCTTTCCTGTGACAATTCTTTCGATGCCTCTGCCTTCTCTTGTTTTAACCTTGTGATGTTTTCTTGACAAAAACTTACGATAAAAACCCAACCTAACCATCATGCATCTGATCACTCTCTACTTGAATCCTTTTACTGCCTCCCTTACAAAATCTAACGAAAAAACCTAACCTAACCATGTAAATCTGATCACTCTCTACTTCAATCCATGTCACAATCATCCCCTTAACTCTGTTGTTACCCTGTTTCTCTTCATGTCTCATTCTCCTTTTTTTAATGACTGTCGATCTCTTGTTCTTTCTTCTCATGTCCCTGTCTCTCTCTCTCTTCTTATTCTTGTCATGTTTTCTTTCTTGTGATGATCCTTCTGATGCCTCCGATCAATCTTCTTATGACCCTGTTTCTCTTGCGATGATTCTTTTGATGTCTCTGTCTCTCCCTCTCTCTCACTCTTAGTTCTTTTGATGCCTGTGCCTTCTCCAGCCTGTTTGAACCTTGTGATGCCTCCCTTACAAAATCTTACGATGATAACCCAACCTAACCATCATGCATCTGATCACTCTCTACTTGAATTCTTGTGATGCTTTCCTTACAAAATCTTACGATGATAACCTAACCTAACCATCACGCTTCTGATCACACTCTACTTCGATCCGTCTTCACCCCTGCCTCTCCTTCACTCTATTTTTCGACTCTCATGCTTTCCTTACAAAATCCAACCATGAAACCTAACCTAACCTTCACGCATCTGATCCGAACCCGCACTTTACCCCTTTCGAATTGAAAACCCGACTTTTTCTCCTCAACCATAACTCGCACGACCTAACCGACCTGCCCAATCGATTCCTCGTCCAAAAATACCTTGAAACCATGTGCCGCACTCCTGCACTGTCAAAAACCCAACCTTTCGCGCTCTTGCCTGAACTTGCCTAGCCTAACCTTGCCTAGCCTAAGCTTGCCTAAGCTTGCCTAAACTTGCCTAAGCCGACTTCTGATCAACCCACCCTAACCTAACCTAACCTAACCTAACCTAACCATCCTCGTCGCCAGCCACCAGGGCCCTTGGCACCAGGGGGCTTGCCACCAGGGCCCTTGGCACCAGGGGGCTTGCCACCAGGGCCCTTGCCACCAGGGGGCTTGCCACCAGGGGGCTTGCCACCAGGGGGCTTGCCACCAGGGCCTTTGCCACCAGGGGCTTGCCACCAGGGCCCTTGCCACCAGGGGGCTTGCCACCAGGGGGCTTGCCACCAGGGGGCTTGCCACCAGGGGGCTTGCCACCAGGGGACTTGCCACCAGGGCCCTTAGGTTATGTTAAGGCGAAATTTATTTCGGTTTATTTATTTAAGTCTGGGTTGCACTAACCTAGCCTAACCTAGCCCTGCTAAGGCCATTCTGGCCCCATCGGACGGAAAAAATTTTCCTTAGGTTGGGTCGGGTTAGGTTGGGTTAGGTTAGGTTAGGTTAAGGCGAAATTTATTTCGCCCGGACAGGCTTCCCAAGCCTGGGTTGCACTAACCTAACCCTGCTAAGGCCATTCTGACCCCATCGGACGGAAAAAATTTTGCTTAGGTTGGGTCGGGTTTGGTTGGGTTAGGTTAGGTTGGGTTATGTTAAGGTGAAATTTATTTCGCCCGGACAGGCTTCCCAAGCCTGTGTTGCACTACCTTACCTAACCTCCCTAAACAGGTGGGTGATCTTAAACAGCCACGCTGTTCGAGGCTGAAACAGCCACGCTGTTCCAGGCTCAAACAGCCACGCTGTTCGAGGCTCAAACGGCCACGCTGTTCGAGGCTCAAACAGCCACGCTCCAAGAAGTTCCGAGCCAAGGACAGCCTCAGGCAGCACATGGCCCTGCATTAGGGTGCGTCGATATGCACGACTTTTCAGATCAGCTTTTGGGTAGCACCCAGGCAGGATAAATAATGTAAACTCGTATTGTTTGGACTGACTTTTTATTCCACAACCAATAGTACACTCTGTTCATTGTGGAAAACAGCGTCCAATAACATCCACTCCAATTTTAAAGACAAAACATTTCAAAACATCAATAACAATGTCAATAGTCCCATGTTAGTGAAGCATACATGATCAGTGCACGCTGGACTTAAATTCAGCCAATTGGAGATAATAATTTAAAGGCGCATGAAAAATTGAAATATATTTATAAGTTTACACCGTTAAACAACAGGTGTTATGGAGGGGGAATGCTACCGATTATGGTACAATTCTACTCTCAGTCACAAATTGAATATTAACAGAAAATTTATTAATAAACATTTTTGCAGTATTACAATCCTTGGTTCCCATTTGGTGATCTTCACATAAGCGTGGCAGATAGTCTAAAACAAGTCCACTATCCATGTTGATGGAGGGATGTTTGATAGGTATAAGAAATGTGTTCTCCACCACGGAAAGATGTCTGCAAGATATCCTCACATTCAATGCTCTCCTAGGCTTCCTTACTAAAGACGACACAAAGAGGTCATAGATACATATCAGATACAATCATAATACAAGGCACAAGGCAAAGGTTTGCTCAGTTTGATGACACTTTTCCCGTGACGTAAGGAAGATATACGGGTTGGGGGCCGAAGTAAGATTATGTACATACCAAAAAATGCATACTGAATAGCACAAATACAACATTGTGAGGGTTATAAGAAAATGGCAACAGACAATAATCATCAATATATTATCAATATAATAAGAATGTGAGTCCAACAAATATTGCAAGGCCTTAAAATGTGCGGAAAGAAATTGAACTACAATTTAAATACATTGATTGCATGATATGAAAGGTGAGTCAACTGAAGCCACATTCGTATAACTTTAAAACAAGAATGAAGCATTTTTCATTGGCAAAATAGCGCTTTTGAGCTAACTGAAATGAGAGGAAATGAAGACAAATAACTAGAAAACGTATCTCCACAATACATGAAGAAGCTACATTATTAATTGGGCTGAAAACTACAATCATTTTGGATCCATTTCAACTAAACAAACATAAACATTTTGTTAATCATAGCTAGTCCTTTTTTGTAAATAAATAAATTTGAACCTGTTTGCTGACTTTGAGATAATTTAAAGATGTACTTGGTCTATCCACAAACAATTTTGGTGGTACAAAAACGGTAATTAGAAGCACACTTTTACTTGGAGTAATCCTAAACTTTTAGCTCAATTTTTGGAAGACCTTAAAGTATGCATAAAATGACTGCAATTAGTCTATTTTCTGAAAACCTCTAGTACAATAACAAGTGCCATAAGGGGGCTGTTCACATAAATGATTCTTTGTTAGGCTCTCCTACACATATACATTGCTTTATCAATGCATAATGGGTGGAACTTTGAACCAAAAGTTCATCACTAGTCTACCTAAATCAATTTTCTTCTTGAACTTTATACCAAACTTGAAAATGTTGACTTATTTATGGCCCCGGTATGACTTAGATGCTATAAAAAGCAATGAGGCACATAAACAAATCATACAAGAGCATAAGCATGACTGCAAACTGCAAACATATATTTTCGGTGAGCAGTCCCCTTAGTTAACTTTACTGACACCAATGAACTGAAAGTAAATATGGCACTACATAGCTTCACAATGTATAGGCACAGTTTGATTGATGCACTTTCCACTAAGTATTACCATTGTACAGAATGGAAAAAAACAATTCCACATCTTGACATGATATGATCTGCAGTAATGGTTTCCGCCAACTGAAAATGCATCAATGTCACCAGCAAACCATTAAATACTGATTTTATGATCAACCTCTCGTGAGTAAGCTGGTCACCACTGCAAGTTCAAGCACAAAACATGCAAGAGAATGCTGAATGAAAAATGTGTACAGATGACTGAAAAACATTAATAAAACGTTAAGTGATTGATCCTGGATATCACTCATTTACATACATAAATGACAATTTTTAGAAACAAACTCATAAATAGATGAATGATGCATGCGATTTACACCTGTTATTATGATACATGGAGATGAAAATTTGAATATTCTTTGGAGGCACTCAATCACAAATTTGTTTTGAACCAATTGTTTGTCTCATGACATGTGGGTAGAAGAGATGAATACATTTAATATAGTATCATGCGTAAGACGTCTGAAATGAAAAATCATGACATGATACACTCACAACCATTCATTTCAAAACTAAATAAATGTCAAGATAATGTGTACGTTAGATTAAAGCACAAAATTAGTGAACTAACAAAGAAATAATGTCAGTTTAGAGGAAACATAAAGTATCACACGTACGTACGCGCAAACGAGCGCACACACACGAGCGCACGTACACACACATTCACTCACACACTCACATTCACACAAATAAAGACATTTTGACAATCACCTCACTCATGAATTCTTACATACAAAATCTAAAAGGCACACTTGCCACACAATTGTAATCACAATAATTTTTCCCTTAGAAAACCCAATACTGTTGAATATTTAAAATAAATAAATTACCATCAATCTAATATTGAACTGAATGGATCACTCAAGCCTATCCATAAAAACAACAAAGAATAAGAATCGGTTGAAAAAAAAAGAAAGGAAAAAAACAGTCATGTTTGAAACATTTTAACTCTAGATCTGTTTTGGAAATGGTATTATTGGAAAAATCACAAAGTGTGTGTGTGGTGTGCTGTGGTGATAACATAACAAATAACTTTCAGAATGAAAATGAGCTTTTCAACCAAAATAAATCATGATTTGAAAAGCCCACTACAGTAGAGAAATATACATAGCATAAAACATACTGTACTGTCATACGGATCTTTACTCTTACTTTTCTACATGAGTGGTCTATCTCATTCATAGTTTAACTAATAGCATTCACCGACACAAAGAGATGGAGAGAAAAAGAGAGTGAGAGTTGTATTCTTGTGAGTATTTTTGTTAGTATGAAACTCTCGACCCAAAACTTCAAAAACTTCAAAAATAAATGAACATATCACACTGGTACTAATGACTCTTCTTTTAAAAATACTGATAGCACCAGTTGACACACAAAAGAGCCAGGAATAACATAATTTCCAAACTGTTGGGTTCCATAGCAAACAAAAAACACAAAAGCTGTCAAACATATTTGCGATTGAAAGGACTTTAAAATAAATAGAACAGCATACAGAGAAGCACATATCCACCGTTTCGACTAGCATAGTTGAGACATGTTTGCAGCAAAATTCATGACATAAACAATAATTAGTGATCACACAAAATTAACCTAACTAGAGGATCTATAAATTGGGTTACAAGAGAGAGTTTGGAGGATTCTGGGCACTAGCAGTAGCCTATCTTGGCTGCTTATCACATTTATGTACTTTTTTTAGGGTCTGGGAAGATAACAAGTTGAGAGAAGAAAACACAAAACCAAAACACCTAATTACTCAAATCAGGTGTTTGAATAAATCACATGCCAGTAATTTGTCCAAGAAACTCGGTAGTTTCCCAGATTGATTTGTGAGCCACAGACAATTCAAACATGTGTATAATTTAATTGTTTACAAGAGGACCATTATATATGTATGCAATGAACTACGATCAAATGGACTTGCTATAATCAAGTCTTAACAAGAATACCTAGTCTTATAAGATTTCAATGAATGTAGTAACAATGCCCAAGGTGACAATATGACAGAACTAAACAGCATTCGCCATTCAAAACAAGACAAAAAATAAGAGAACTCAGCAATTCTTCAAAATCTAGGTCCAGATTTAAAGTAGGGAAATTGACAACAGATTCATTCAAACCAGAGAAATACAGCAAATGTTTTACAGTGGAAAGTGACGAAAGCGAAAAATGTGAACAGATGAACATGTAATGCTGTGACATACCACAGAAATTTGTAGATGTGCCCACATAAATTCTTTCAAATTTAGAGTTTTTTAAAAATGTCAGTAGTAGGTTTGCTGATTCTTATGACTCGTTCACAGCACGAAATTTGGCAGAGCAAGCCAGAAGGTACTGATATCAACAATATAGCACATCCACATTGGGTAGATGACAGGAGATCGAAGATATCAGGATACACATTACCATGTTCTGTTTCATTTCAGGTCAGACACTGACTGTGCACATTTGCACCAAGGAAATATGATTCTGAAGTAATACAGAGCAAAAGATTTAATGAAAGTGAATACAGAGTTGAGTGAATTATATACAATACAAACCAAGCAACAGTTAAAACTGTATAGATTTAGTTGTTGTTATTAATAATTAAAACATATTCATATTTATACAAGAAGAGGACACTCAAGTCATGTTTTTAATAATTTAGTTAAAAAGGTAATTTTTCATAAAATAACTACGAATTATACCGGAATTCACATACGTCCATCAGCAAAGACATCAGTCAAACCAGGTAAAATGGGTTGCCTGCTCATCCTTAGTAGAACAAATAATCAATTACTTTTTAGCCAAATGATGACCGCTCAAAAGCTTTGCTCACATTAACACTTAATAGGTTGCTCCATACAGGCAGGCAAAATTGACTTCATCCTTGTTTTTAACGAGAAAAGAGTTCCTTTGGTCAGTTGGACTCCTATCTGAGTGACGCTTCGATTCATCTGGGTAACATTTGCAACTAGATGTGTTCTCACTGAGCCTGAGGATCACACTGAAGAAGCCGCACAATTGATGGATCACTCTTGGCTCCTTCAATGAATTCTTCTAAAGACAACTTGCCATCTTTGTTTTTGTCCATTTGTCGGAATATTTTATCAGTACGCTTCTCAGGTGTTGATTCATCTTCAGGCATCTTCATTACTGAACCTACCATTTTATAAATGGCCTGGAGAGCGAAAAAAAAAAGAGTATTTTCAGTTAGGGTTCAGGCAAATAGAATTAGAGTGCGATATGCATTCTGAATACTTACCGTGACAATTTCAAGCATTTCTTGTCGAGAGATATATCCATTTCCATCAAGGTCATACATGCTGAATGCCCATTTTAGTTTCTGTTCAAGCTTTCCCCGTGATGTTACCGAAAGGGCACACAAAAATTCTCGGAAATCAATAGTACCATCTCCATTGGCATCAAATGTGCGAAAGACATGTTCTGCAAACTAATGAGGAACATGACATGAAATTCAATGCAAAAGTTGGTTAGTCTCAAAGTAATATAATTCTCATCTCATCTCAATGATATTTACTTTAGATGCATCTCCATAGGGAAAAAAGTTTCCATAAATTTTCTTGAACTCTTCCACACTGAGGTAACCACTAGGACAATCCTTAAGGAACCCTTTGTACCATTCTTGAATTTCTGCATCTGTAAGCAAAAAGTAAAAAGGAGAAAGTAATTATAAATCAGCATTTGGGTAACCATCCAAGAGGATTGATAGATTTCAATATAACAACTTGTGCAATTGGTGAAACTTGCCTGAAAATTCTGTGTTTTGTCGGAGATCTTCTAAAACTTCTGGTTTAAGTTTACTGTTCTGCTTCCCCATGGTAGCGCCTCCTTATCCTGAATCTCAAGCTTTAATGAAATGTTTCTTGAGGAGTAAGACCTGCAAACAAGGAGCTATTTACAAAGAATAATTGAAAACAACTCGTACAAAATAATCCTTGTCTTATAAAAAGAAGACAAAAGAACTTACGGCAACTTAGATAATGACAACTTAGCAATAACTGGTTGTGAGTGTAACCACTAAGTCCAAATAATTTTCCCTCTTATACAAAAAAAAAGGCACACAAAAAGAGCCACATACATGTAAGTTTAGAAAGCCAGAGGACATCGCCACTTAGTCATTCAGATTTTATTGGATTTTATCTTGAATTTCAGGTTTGAAAAATTACATCCAAATAGTATCTGCATAACACAACGATTAATGTGTATAAGAGGATATGAGATGTGACACTGAATAGATCTGGGTACTATTTGCAACACACACCAGTTTTGAGAACGTCCACAGCAAATTAGTAAAATGGGATGGGAACACCAAATGAACTAAGAAAACAATTCTGAAGAAGAAATAATTGTCTAAAAGATTTAGCATAATATGTACATGTATAGTTAGGTATAACATGTAAACATAGATTGATCAAACAAACAATATTTGTAATGTATTAAAATTGTATTTTTCTCAACAGATACAAAACATTGGAATATTTTGTAACCATTAACATAGATATTAACATCAAAACACATGGAATAAAGTGGGTACTGCAGATAAAGGTCTAAATGGTTATCACAAGTTGTGCAGCTTACAAGTAGAAAAATAGAAAAGTGCAGAAAAAGCAATGGTATTCGCTTTCTTCTTAATCTCCTTTTTTTTTAATTTTTTTGGAGAGCTTTAACATGAGGAGTCCATTATTTGACATTGCAATTCTAATGTCTCTTTTCCCAAACTATTACATGTCAAATCTTATCAGAGTTCAAAGATGAAAATCAGATAAGGCTTGATCAGGAAGAGCTCACTGCTTTGCCCGCAAATTTATCCTGGACTTATTACACTCGCAAGAGATTTGGTTGACCACCTCAACTTGACTAAATTAGGCTTACTGCTAAAATAATGAAATGAACAGCTAGAAACAAACGAGGGGAAAATGGAAACTGTGAAATCACCTCTGCCCCTTGGGATGTTTCTGTTCTCAAGACATCCAGGCAACAGCAATAACCATACCAGAAATACTTTATCATTGGTTTGGCATAACAACCATAGTCTACTGATGTGTCATAGCAGTTGGCGAGAAGCGCTCAAACATAACTATTAACTGTGTCAAAGAAAACCAATATCTGAGGCAACATGAATAACTGTAGCTTGGCTCTTGAAGCAAGTGCATTTCACTACACATTCAGATCCATGATATGCATAAGCCCCTTTTCATTCTATAAAAAATAATTAAGAGAGAGTTGTGCTAAGGATATGAATAATCACAATATGATATTTTTTCAACAATTTTGACAAAAAAATGTACGTTGGTATTTGCTCAAAATACATGCCGATATTGCATTAAAAAGATGCCCTTTGATTCCTTTGCGTTTGGGGGAGAGATGAACAGAAAGAGACAGATGAAGAAATAGATGGACAGACAGAGAAAGCACACCAATTGTGCAAAGAATTACATACTCCTTCTCACTCTATACATAATTGTAATGCATACATCCAGATCTACTGTCATGATAAGAGCTTAATAAACTTTGTTAGACAAAGGCAAAATACGGAACTTTCCGAAGACTACACTTTGATGATAAAATTGTGGGTTTTCTCTCCCAGGAAAAAATGCACTGTAACATGATTTCACGTCTCAGTAATGAACTACAGGCATTCAAAAGGATAAAATGTTATCTCAGCTTTCTCTGACAATATGCTGTTGATCAAAGAGGCTACAAGTTCGAAATATATTACCTTAAAAAAAGTCCAAGGCTTTTGGCTTTTTATTTTCTTAAAAAAAAAAAGAAGAAAATAGCACAAAAATATTTACACTGAGATTCAAAGAACAAAAATAGAGTAAGTTATGTACATCAGTAAGAATTGTGAAGCAGAACAGTATTAATTTAAGTGTTCTCCCAAAAAACATTTCTTTGACCCGAAGTTAGGAATTGCAATACAATTTTTTCAAACACATTTGATCAACAAGCGCTGCAGTGGCGGTCGAAATAACTATAGAAACATGCTATTATAAAGAGAAGGGGACAGTGAGTGACAGAACAAGCACATTGATCCAAATTTTCAAACTGTAGCAAACCTAATGACATTCGAAAGTTAAATATGGTGGTAGAAACACAAAGATGGTAGTTGCACTAATTGCATCATACACAGACTAAAGACTAATCGAGCATGTAGGCCTAAATTAAGTATTATTGTCCATTATATTGGACAAGTACCATGCTCTGCGGGGGTCAACTATACACACCCATTTATACACGTACATGGGTTTGCAAGCCAGGCAGAATTCAATGAGTATTTATCATGCGGTCAATTGCTTAGATTAGGCAGAAACTACCAAGGGGCATTTAGAACTCTGTCAGAGCCTTGGCCTCATGCAACCAGATAGACTTAAAAGTAATGAAACCGTTTAAAGAAATGGCCACTGCATTAAACCGTAATAAAATTACAATTAAGTGAAGGGGAGAATACACTGTATGTACATGACAAACAATGGTTTGACCAAACTTACTTAACTAGCTGAAAGACAAGTGAAATGTGGTCATGAAAATTGGAAAGAACAAGGAATGAAGACTGGCCAAATAAGAGCTATGCCGATATTTAAACCTTCTCATGAACTGTACATGTTCAGTGTTAACACCTAAAATTACGCTCAGACAGGAGAAGAGTGAAAACAGAGGGGAAGCATATAAAACCTTGTAATAGATGTTCAACACAACTTAGAAAACCGGAAGTTGGAAGAAATAGTTATGCTTCTAATCCTCAGTTTCAAGTTTTAGGTCATGAATAAGTCAGAACTCAAAGACATGGGAGAAATAAAGCTAACAGGAATAATTGAATGCGTAACAAGAGGAAGATGTCTTGATTTGAAATTTATGTTAAATGCTCTTTTAAATGCTCCTTACACTTCATTAACTATTTTATTACAGAAAATTTGAAATGCTAAGGGGTGAAGAAAAGGGAGGGGGGGGGCAACCAGGCAGCAATCATGAAAGTGGGCAGAGGCATGAGTGCCTGACAACTGGAAGAATGAACAATGCTAGCTCAACCCTTTTAAAGCTAAGTTTCCAGCAGTACTTCGCAATTTAAAAAAAAATGATTTGAAAAGAAAGCTGCAGTGGTTTTATTGTAATTTAAGGGTACCTTATCAGACTTATAGAATGTGCGATCTCATCGCTTGCATATTTTTCATGACTTTCATAGAGCATCACACAAGATTTTATCTCTGTAACTGAACAAACATCTTTTCTGCTATGTATACAAATAAATAGGTGATTGCTGAATGGGGAAAATAATTGCATCTCTTAACGGACAAGCATGATAATGGTCTTATGAAACCAGGCTTAAGCCTTTCAGGAACCCACAAAGGTATTATACTTTTGATACAGTATGATGTTCATACACAGTAGCACAATAGTTATCAAAAATAACCGAGTGGGGATGTAGCAATAATGTCTCATGCAAAACAAAGCAAATTCAAATTTTCTCCAGTGTAAATTTTGTTTTAGAAGCAATTAATCTTCAGTCTGCTTAAACACCAGTGGTCAAAAGGGCTGACAAGCAAGAAAAAGAAAACACAAGGATGGCAATCAAGAATACTAAAAGCTAAAATACAGTAGGGAAAAAGGGAAGACTGTCCAAGAACTTTGGTGCAATTTTATCATTACATGAAAAAAAAAAAAATCACCAGAAAATTGATTTAAGTATGAGGGCAGACTATTATTAGAATATGATTGAATGCCCGTCTTTACAAGTTGATTCCAAATGGTGATTATGCCGACTACTTATATAATAACTGAGAGCCCCTTCAAGCTCTTATTTTCAGAAACCAAGCTGAGAAACAGAATCCTATACTGGTTTAAATTGTGTATTTGCACGAAACCAGCAATAATGCATTGTCAAGCAAACAAAGAAGAAAGTACAAAAAAAAAATGCACCCAACGGAAGACAAAAGTTATTCTTAGTCTAAAAAACCTGCTTTTCAAGGAGCCACTTGACTTATCATTTCTGTCTGCAGCTTCCAATGGTTTTTTTTCTATTTTGTGAACAATTTTGGCTAAGAGAGTGTAGAACGAGCTTGTGCAGAGCTGAGAAGAAGTTTAGGAAAATTCATCCACCCACTTCACAAAAACGTCTTCAGCCTTGAAAAGATTAAACTTAAATTGTATGTTTGACTAAAAATCTATTGCCTTAAGTAAATTTTTGCATCATTACTGATACCTCACTTAAGAATGCATCAAACCACAGAGCCCTTTGAGTCAAAATGAGTCAAAATAATGCCAAAAGCTTGGGGAAAGAAAGTTGCTTTCTTTGTCTATGATGCTTAACTTAATGTGCGTTCAATTCAATGCATTTTTAATGTCACTTTTCTGTTTATCAAGGTTTTAAGTGACGTGAGAGAAGCACTAGACAAAGACATTTTTTTCTTCGGCGATTGCAGACATTTAGCCGACGGAGAAGAGGTAAGGTACAAACGTAATATACAACACTGCAAATGGCAGCTATACTAATATGATGCACTATGCGACCTCACCACCTTTAAATGATCATTGGTCAGTTATCGGATCGGTATCAAGAGTAGAGATAAGACAGTGGAAAGCCTGAGAGCAGTTTCCGCCTTGTTCAAAGGCAAATGTCACAGGGAACCAAAACTGTCGAGCCACCCACAGCTCAACATGGGACAGTAACAGAACTAAGGCGATGAGATGGGCAAATATGAAAAAGGGTTCTGTGTGCCATAAGGAACACAGCTGCCTTAGACGAAGCCAGGAAAGGCACCACATGATAAAACCTTAAGAACCAGAAATGATTATTCATGAACGACACTTATTGGACATGTCACACAGTCCGGCTGGGCGTAAGGCCATATGACCTTAGCTGGGCGGGGCCCGACAAGCACCAGGCCTCGCACCAGGCCTCGGCCAGCAGACGGATATCGAGATGCGTTTTCGTCGCTCTGTCTCTGTCGCACTCACGGGGCGTCCTGTACAGACATAGAGCGACGAAAAAGCCTCTCGGAATCAGTCTGCAGGGTTCCAGGCCTCCGTCCGTCCGCCAAGCCTAGAAGCCATGCCTGCCGCGCGCAGCCCTGCCTCGCTGAGAGCAATGAATGAAAAGGCCGATGCTAGCCAAGGGTGCCGACGCAGTGACAGTCACTGGCACACTGGCACGGCTTCGGCAGACAGACAGACACGAGGGAAGGGGCCGCCCACCCCGTCGCACAAGGAGGAAACATTTGGCATTTTCTCAGGTGGAATGTTTCTTTTTGTACAAACATTCTCGTACACTCATCCACACATAAGCGCGCGCACACACACACACACACACACTCACGCACACGAGCGTATATTACACATGCAGCCCCGTCGCCACGCTACAGCGCGCTGCGTCCTGACGTGGGGTAGCGCCGCCGCACCAGCGCGGAGTCGCGGGGTAGTGCCACCGTGGCCTTGAGGCGACCCGCGAGGCGAGCATGGCGACGCTTTGGTCGAGGCAGAGAGGCTGGTCCTGCTGGTCCTTCGGCGTGCCAGACCAGCGCCTGACGGCGCTGGCTGCGCTGGCCCCACGGACGGCGGGCTTCGAGGCGTGCCTTAAGGCGCCAGCATCTTAGACAGCTCCTCGTCCTGCAGGCAGCCCTTGAGGAACTCCTCTTGCGTGAGCTGCTGGTCGTTGTTCTCGTCCATCTTGGCGAAGATGTTCTTGGCGCGCTCCTCGGCCGAGTCCGCCGGCCGGTTGGAGGAGCACGCGCCGAGCATGTCGTAGATGGCCTGCGGAGCAGAGGACAGACGCTCAGTCCGGCAGTCCCTTCCTTTCACATCACAACGCGCGATAGCGCACTTACTTACTTTTGAAACAAACTCACTCACTCACTCACTCACTCACTCACTCACTCACTCACTCACTCACCCACTCACTCACTCACTCACTCACTCACTCACCCACTCACTCACTCACTCACCCACCCACCCACTAACCCACTCACTCACTCACTCACTCACTCACTCACTCACTCACTCACTCACCCACTCACTTACTCACTCACTCACTCACTCACTCACTCACTTACTCACTCACTCACTCACTCACTCACTCACTCACTCACTCACTCACCCACCCACCCACTAACCCACTCCCTCTGACTCTCTCAAAATAACAAGGAACGCACCTGTACAATCTTGGTCATTTCGTGGATGTCGATGACGCCGTTGCCGTCCACGTCGTACATTCGGAACGCCCACTTGAGCTTCTCCTCGGGAGTCCCGGACGATGTCACGTCGATGGCGAGCAAAAACTCCTGCAAGCAGAAGGGGAAAACGACGTTAGATCGGGCGAGCGAGATAGGGGGCAGGACGCGGGCGAACCAAGAACGAGGGCGGGAAGCGCTGCCGGCTCTTCTTGTCAGGACAGTCCTATCGGTTCTCCGCGGGCCGCGGGCGCAACGCTACGCAAGGCGGGTATTGCGCCAGACCAGGCCAGAGGGAGCAGCCCTTGAGGAAAGAGCGACCCACTGCAAGACGCAGCGGCCGGGAGAAACACCCAAAAGAGGCGTTTCTTGAACCAAGATAATATACTTGTCATAAGTGAATTTTCTTGGATGTGTCAAGAAAATTCACTCATGGCATGTACATTATCTTGGTTCAAGAAACGCCTTTTTTGGGTGAAGATCATTTTCCCCTCCCCCGTCATTATTCTCTGTTTCAAGTTTCTTTTCTTTACGTGGAACATTTAACGTGGCCGTTGATAGGACCCCCCCCCCCCCCCTCGGCCTGAAAATAAAACTGTTTACAATAGTTGGGATTTTTTGGATAACTTGATGGGCAAGAAAATTGCATCTAGTCCTCGGAAAACTCCAAAATTTTGTATAAAGTTTCCGCCGTTACAAAATAAAATTCTGTTTGAAAAGCGCAGCCTCCGGAAATTGCCAGCGGCGGTGCTTCACGCGGAACGGACTTTCCGGGATTTTCCAATTTATTTTCAACAGTGCGCGCAAACACACACACTCTCACACTCGCACTCACGGCGCCCCGCCGAGCTCCGCGTCCCGTCGCGCCAGTTTATGTACTTTGCGGCTCGCTAAATAATTTGCTTGGGCGTGCGGTGCAGTGCTCCACAGTGCACCGCCGTGTACAGTGTACCCACCACCCCCGACGGCGCCCCTGCGGCTGTGGCCCCCCGCCGTCCTCCCTGCGCGGCGCAGGCAGCCTTCAGCCAGCCTTCAGCCAGCCTTCAGGCAGCCTTCAGGCAGCCTTCAGCCAGCCTTCAGCCAGCCTTCAGCCAGCCTTCAGCCAGCCTTTAGCCAGCCTTTAGCCAGCCTTCAGCCAGCCTTCAGCCAGCCTTCAGCCAGCCTTCAGCCAGCCTTCAGCCAGCCTTCAGCCAGCCTTCAGCCAGCCTTCAGGCAGCCTTCAGGCAGCCTTCAGCCAGCCTTCAGCCAGCCTTCAGGCAGCCTTCAGCCAGCCTTCAGGCAGCCTTCAGGCAGCCTTCAGGCAGCCTTCAGCCAGCCTTCAGCCAGCCCTCAGCCAGCCTTCAGCCAGCCTTCAGCCAGCCTTCAGCCAGCCTTCAGGCAGCCTTCAGCCAGCCTTCAGGCAGCCTTCAGGCAGCCTTCAGCCAGCCTTCAGCCAGCCTTCAGCCAGCCTTCAGCCAGCCTTCAGCCAGCCTTCAGCCAGCCTTCAGCCAGCCTTCAGCCAGCCTTCAGCCAGCCTTCAGCCAGCCTTCAGCCAGCCTTCAGCCAGCCTTCAGCCAGCCTTCAGCCAGCCTTCAGCCAGCCTTCAGCCAGCCTTCAGCCAGCCTTCAGCCAGCCTTCAGCCAGCCTTTAGCCAGCCTTCAGCCAGCCTTCAGCCAGCCTTCAGCCAGCCTTCAGCCAGCCTTCAGGCAGCCTTCAGCCAGTCTTCAGCCAGCCTTCAGGCAGCCTTCAGCCAGCCTTCAGCCAGCCTTCAGCCAGCCTTCAGCCAGCCTTCAGCCAGCCTTCAGCCAGCCTTCAGGAGGACTACGGGCACCGCGGTGCAGCGGGCTGGTTCCGAGTAGGACCTCTCTCTCTCTCTCTCTCTCTCTCTCTCTCTCTCTCTCTCTCTCTCTCTCTCTCTTGGCCGGGCCATGGCCATGGCACCGCAGGCATCTCATTAAGCGAAAAGTGTGCTTCCTGACATCGACCGGCAGACTGACTCCGAGAGTCGTTTTCGTCGCTCTGTCTCTCTCGCACCTACGGGGGGACGCTCCGTGAGTGCGAGAGAGACAGAGCGACGACCCGGTCCAGCTGCTGCAAGACTAATTTCACACTGCACTACAAACCTAACTGTCAACTAAGTACACACTTACAAATGCATGCTTGCAAGTACGTACTTACAAATGCATGCTTGCAAGTACATACTTACAAATGCATGCTTGCAAGTACACACTTACAAGGTAGGTTTACGCCAGACCGCGTCTTGTCGTAACAGGCTTCGCGATGTCTCGCTGCCTGTTCCTCCAATCCGCGCCTGGCGTACCTACCTTGGCCTGCGGCGCTAGCCTGCCTTCGGCAGGCAATGGCTTGTCCATCGTCGGTTACTTCTAACTTGATGCATGCTGGGGGGCTCCGCCACCCAGACCCCCCTTCATTCTAGATCCCTTGTAACTTTTTACTTGTCGGGGCTGGGGGGCTCCGCCCCCAGACCCCCCTTCTTCAAGACAAAAGTGATCTGCCTGCAGAAAACTCGATTTTTCGCCGTTTTTTAGGTGTTTTTCGGCTATAAAAACTGAACCAGTTGAGCTAGGATAGTGAAATTTCGCGTGTGCTGAGCCAAGGACATGCCCAAAAAGTGTGCAAAATCTCACCGAGATCGGCCGAGCCGTTCAGGAGGAGTAGTGCGGACACACACACACACAGACAGACAGACGGACAGACAGGAAAAACTTTTCAACCCCAATGGAGTAACAGGCTTCGCTATCGCTCAGCCAACAAATGCCTATGCTTAGCATGGAGTTATACGGCGCCAAGCATGCGTTACGAATCCTCCCGGGAGTGCGACAGAGACAGGGAGACGAGAGCGACGTTCGGAATCGGTCTGCTGCAGCAGACGATGGTCCACCGCCTCGACAAGCTGACGGATTAACAGGACGCTTCGCTGTGCATTAGTCACAATCACTAAGCGAAGAAAAAGCTTGGTGGGAACTTACGAGTTTACACGACAGAGGGGAACCTACAGTGGTCCAAAGCAATTAGCCAATGAGGACGTATCGGAGCCGCGCACCGTACGCAAGCGCGGGTTCGTTACGACACAACCTGGCGCGCACAATTGGCGCAAACCGTCTCTCTCTCTCTCTCTCTCTCTCTCGGCTGCTTCTCAATAGAATACCAAAGCACGGTGCGAGAGGAGTACAAAGGCCGGGGCCTGCCGCGTGCGCGCAGCACCGCGAAAAAAGGAAAACAGGAAAGCGTAGGTGTGAAGGTGGACGCGGGAAGAGGGAGGGAGGGAGAGACAGAGAGAGACGCAGAGACAGAGAGGCAGAGACAGAGAAAGAGGGAGAGAAAGAGGGACAACGGGTCGGCGAGGGATGAAAGATCGCCCTTGCCACTGCAGCCGACCCGACCCGCGCCCCACGGGCACGCCACGGGCACGCCACGGGCACGCCACGGGCACGCCACGGGCCGTGGGCCACGGCACTGCAAGGCAAGGCACCCGCGGCGAGGCTCTACGGCTAGGCGAGGCGCCAGGGCAACAGGCTGCGAGATAAAGGCAGTCCCCCGGGTGCCACCGCTGCGGAGCGTAGCGGAGCGGAGCCGGGCTTGGCCCAGCCCGGTGGTGGCGGCCGGGCGGAGCGGCGCGGAGAGAGCCTTAAACAGGCTGCTCCAGAGGAGCGACCCCCACCCCCCACCCCTCCCGGCCGCTCGCAGCGTCACTGGCGGCGGTGGCGACCCGGCGAAACAAACAGTGGAACTAGTGGGCCTCGTGAGAGAGGGACGCAGAGCGGCGGAGCGGCAGCCAATCAGAACGCATTGGTGTCCCCTGGGCGAAACCCGCCCCCCGGAAACCCCGTGCGAGGCTAGGTGTGAGAGTTAGTCGCGGTCAGACCGGCCGGCCGGGGTTTCCCGCCTTGAGAGCAGCGCACCATTTTGTTCTCATACCAAAGCCTAGTCTCGCGCAAGCTACCCCGCGCCGCCGCCCAGGGGACACCAGGCGCTCGCTCTGCGTCCCTCTCACACGAGGCCCACAAAGTGGAACAGGTCCGCTTCTCCTCACGCAGTCACTAACGCAAATTACGGGGAGGAAAGAAAGCTTCCCTCCGCCCGCACCTCGGCCCGCACGGTAACACCACACTAAGAAAACCTTACAAACTATTTCAGGCTACAAAGCAAAGCAGTTTGTTAGAACAACTTATTTTGAGCATACATGAGCTTACAAAGATGATAGGTTACTTCGTAGTTTACGAACTATTTCTTCGTATTACAAAGTAAATTGGTTTGTACATATGCTCAAAATACTTCGTAAGGTTTTAAGGGTGCGGGTGTATGAAGGAAAATCTCGAAAATTCACGTCTCAAATTGCAACCATAGTTCCTCCCTCTCATCATCTTCTTCTTCTTCCACCCGAACCGTGCAAATCCTGATCCAAACCCTTCAACAAATCAAAGAAGAGACCAAGAAGAGGACACGGCCTCGGGGAGCGCAAACGCCTGTCAACTCCAGCATAGGCAACCCGCAGCACTCCGACGCGCAGCAGAGATTTGGGCTGCCTACCTGCCAGGCGCTCAGCTCGCCACATTCTTCAGCATATCCATTTCAATTGCAGAAAGGGGGAGAGAGGGGGGAAGGGAAGGGGGAGAGAGAGAGAGAGAGAGAGAGAGAGAGAGAGAGAGAGAGAGAGAGACATGCACATGCGCCCTCCACTGTGGCAAAAAGGTACGGAAAATTCTGTTAATTTTTTTGCCAGGATTCTCCGTAGACCTCTTATCAATATTCTCCGTAGGATCTTACAGTATTCTCCGTAGGGCCGCACAGTATTCTCTGTAAGTCCGCACAGTCTTCTCCGTAGGACCTGGAAGACTGTATAGTCCTACGGAGATCACTGTAAGGTCCTACGGAGAATACTGTGCGGTCCTACGGAAAATACTGTAAGAGCCTACGGAGAATATTGATAAGTGGGCTACGGAGAATTACCACAAGCTGTTTACAGAATTTTCCGTAGCTTTTTGCCACAGTGTCGCACGCTCCACCGAGGGGTGAATCACTCAGCGTTCCGGTGTGCACTTGAGTACATGCGAGTACGGGTGAGTGCGCCCTCTCATACTCATAAATTTCACATTGTTGAACGCTTTTTGACTTAATTAAGAAGTTTAGACGCCAAATCGTGTCAAAGATGAGCGAATTTGGCTCATTTGAAATAACTTGTGAGTGAGTATGGGGCAATTTACACATGAGTACACTAGTGATTCACCCCTCGCGCTCCACACGCGCACAGCACCGACGCACACGAAGTGGGCAAGTGAGTCCCTGCAGCACAGAGCCTGGCCAAGCAAACGGAAGCAGTGGCGGAATGGCGGCGTCGCGCCGCCAGGCCTGCCCTTCGGCCTGCCCTTCGGCCTGCCCTTCGGCCTGCCCTTCGGCCTGCCCTTCGGCCTGCCCTTCGGCCTGCCCTTCGGCCTGCCCTTCGGCCTGCCCTTCGGCCTGCCCTTCGGCCTGCCCTTCGGCCTGCCCTTCGGCCTGCCCTTCGGCCTGCCCTTCGGCCTGCCCTTCGATCTGCCTTCACTGGCACGGCCTCGCTGCGGCGAAACGAGCCCAACCGGACCAGGCAGGCACACTGAGAGTCGTTTCTCGTCACTCCGTCTCTCTCGCACCACTACGGGGCACCGCACGAGTGCGAGAGAGACGGAGAGACGAAAACGACTCTCGGAACCAGCCTGCAGGCGGCATGGGGCGTGGGGGTGGCCGGGGCTCGGCCTCGGCCGGCTCGAGTCAGTAGTCCCCAGGCAGAGATTAGGCGGCGCTGGCCCGGCTGCCCCATGAGTGCGAGAGAGACAGAGCGACGAAAACGAGTCTCAGTCTGCTGGTCTCGGCCGATGCGGCCGGCCCGAACCGGCCTCGCCTCGCCCAACCGGGCGAAGGACTCCGACGTCGGCCCCAACGTGGGTCACGAAAAAGTGGCCCCGAAAAGAAAAAAATCATTACTGGACGACTGGGGTAGAGAAAGCACGGGCCTTGCCATGCCCTGCGGTGGCGTGCGGGCACACTGTAAGGCTTGCCGCGTACTTCCCTTCTCTCTCTCTGCTTTCATGTCGACCGTTGAGACTTCAGCAGCAGCGAGTGGGCCTTCGTGCGCCTTCGTGACACCGTCCGGAAAACGACTTGCCTTCGCTCACCGCCTCATTGCTCCGTCTCTCTTGGGCCGCATGAGTGCAAAGAGGGAGGGAGAGAGAGAGAGAGAGGGAGAGAGAGAGAGAGAGAGAGAGAGAGAGAGAGAGAGAGAGAGGGAGAGAGAGAGAGAGAGAGAGAGAGAGAGAGAGAGAGAAGAGAGAGAGAGACGAGGGCACTGCTCCGAATGGAGCTGCTGTCGAACGCGGCGCAGCGAGCACTTCGTCAAGTTGGAGGGACCGACGCCCGCAGACCTTGGCAGACCGCACGACGACGACGACGGCGGCGAGGAGTTTCAGCGCGTTACAGTGTCCCTCCTCTCCCCTTTCAAGCTTACACTGTGTGCTGCCTAACCTCATAGACTTTGCATAGATTATGCGAGGTAAGTTATGCCTGCGTGCGCCCGCACCCCTCCCCCTCCCCTCCCCCTCCCCCTCCCCACCCCAAGCCCTCCGCGAGGCGATCACATTAACCACGCCTGATCCAATATTCCCGCCACCCTCGCTCGCCAGGTTTAAGGACGCACCCTAACTCCCCAATCAATGCAAAGCAGGGCTATGCCCCCCCCTTTCCTTCAACTCGTCTGGACGAATTCCAGTCCGAGACAGGTGACCTTTCTCTGCCCCAAGCAGACTGATTCCGAGAGTCGTTTTCGTCGCTCTGCCTCTCTCGCACTCGTGGGGCGTCCCGACTGGGCGCGAGGGAGACAGAGCGACGAAAGGGACTCTCGGAATCAGTCTGCAGCAGGGCCAAGCAGGGACGAGCAGGGCACTGCGCGGAGGGCTAAGGGATAAGGCAAGAAGGGCTGGCCGGGCCCAATCTGCCTCCAAGGGATTTGACGCGCTAAGGCCGAAAAAAAAGGAAAAAAGAAAAGGGGGCTGGGCTGAAGGTGTGGAGGGGCCTCTGGCCCGGCTCCGGACAGCACCTGAGCTCTATTTAGTTAAGCTCACGCCGTCGCGAGGGGGCGAGAGCGAGGGGGCGAGGGCGTGAGAGCGTGGGCCGAGGGATGCAAAAGTGAGGTTATATTCTAATGCTGGAACGTCCGAATACTGCTCACAGCAACCTTAAGGTAGACTAAAACTACAGAGAGCATGCAGAGAGTCTTTTGCGACTCAAATTTTTGCCGCTATGGGATCATAACCTCACTTTTGGAAGCATAAAGACTCCCCCCACTCCGCCCAGATCCACGCTCTCACGCCCTCGCCCCCTCGCTCTCGCTCCCTCGCGACGGCGTGAGCTTAACTAAATAGAGCTCTGGAGGTGATCCTGGCGGCAGATGCCGGAGGGAAGTTCCGTCGCTCTGCCTCTCTCGCACTCATGGGGCGTCCCGTAAGGGGGCGAGAGAGGCAGAGCGACAAAAGTATCGTTCTGGCTGTGGACGTCTCCAGGGGCCCGGCGCCCTGCCTGCTGGACGGCACGGGCAGAAATCAGGTGCTCGAGGACACTCTAAATGTCTTACAATGAAATTTGACCTATGTTATTCGTATGTTACAGTGAATTCGGCGCAAGCATAATACGAAGCAATATTCCTTCGTAATACCAACCTTTTTACCTTTTTCATTGTAAGATACAAAGAAAAACCTTCGTAATACGAAGAAAAACCACCTTCGTATTATGCTTGCGCCATTTCCTTCGTATTATGGGAAATGTCTTCGTAGGACATTTAGAGTGGAGGAGAAGAAGGAAGGCGAACGGCAACGGCGGAGAAATACGGGTGGCGGGCGGAGCGGAGAGACTCCGGCAGGTCGCATAAAACACACCGCGGGTCAGGCAGCCCACGCAGGCCAACCCTAGAAGTCCTTGAAAGAAGTGCCTTGAAAGCGGCCCTTGCCCGCAGCTCTTGCCAGAGTCCATAGAAAGCAGCCCTAGCAAAGCATTCCTTGAGAGGAGTCCTGGTCCTAATTTTCCTGCTTACAAGGAGACTCCCGTGGAACTTGATAATGCCCGTGCAATAAGTAGAGGAGGGACCATTTATGAAAATTTGGTCGTTTTGTGATGAAACTGTCGTCATTCTCAAGCGATGGTGTTGTCATCATTTTCAAGCGATGAAAATGTCATCGACAATTCTCGTCATAAAGTGATAAAAAGAATTCTCACTGCGCAGTGCACTCTAGCGTTGGGGGTCGCGTTCATAAATTTACGTAACATGCGTGTAACTTTTTACCAAGGGGAAATTTTTAGAAACCCAAAGAAAGTGAAGTTTGTACCGAAATTCAAGAAAATTCGCATGCAATCCATTTAAATTCATCCCAAAATTCATGTGGCACTCAAAACAATCTGTACACTGAACTTCGAAGTTATTTTCTCTCCCTCTTCACCAATCCACCGCCTACCAAAACCGCAAAAATGCTGAAAACGGAAAGAAGTACACGCCTAAAACCTTGCAAAGTATTTTGAGCGTACATTGTACAGACTAATTTACTTTGTAATACGAAGAAATAGTTTGTAAATTACGAAGTATTTTCGTTGTAAGCTTGTGTATGCTCAAAATACTTTGTTATAACTAGCTGCTTCTCTTCGCAAGGCCAAGAATAGTTTCTAAGGTTTCTAGAGTGTAACTCGCAGAAAAGACACCAAGAGACAGAGACTCACCTTGAAATCTATGTATCCGTTCTTGTCCATGTCGAACGTTCGGAAGACGTGGTCGCAGAACTCCTCGGCGTTCCCGCTGGGGAAGAACATTTTGTACATGTCCACGAACTTGGCCGGCGTCAGCTTCCCGTTTGGACAGTCTTGCTGCAAACAGAGGAGGAAGGAAAAACGGCGTGAAAAACCAGTCGGGAGGAAATCGGCCGCAAACAGACACCCGGGCAGCCGCACGCCGTGCCGGGACTCGGAATCGTCTGAATTCATGCAAAGCTGTCCCTAATTCGGATTCTGGGGCCGCCTGCCGAGCCTGCAGACTGATTCCGAGAGTCCGTTTCGTTGCTCTCTCTCTCTCTCTCTCTCTCTCTCTCTCTCTCTCTCTCCTGCACTCGTGGGAAGTACCCCCGAGGAGCGAGGCAGACAGAGCGACGAAACGAACTCTCGGAATCAGTCTGCGCTGTCTGCTTGGCTTCTAGCCGGCGGGGCTTGCCTCCGTGGATGTGGCCGCGAGGGGGGGGGTGTAGCTGCGAATGGAGCGGGCCTCGAGACACCGGGGAGGCGGTGACCGACGCTAGCGCCTGTGGACTGAGAGCCGCGTTTCGTCACTCTCCCCTCTCTCTCAGTGGCGGGGTGTCATGCCCCCCCCCCTCCCGCTTTGGCCACTAGACTAGGCAGCCGCCTGAAAGGTAGGCAACCCTGGGTGATGCGCCCATGGGCGATCCATGGGCGGTCCATGGGAAATTGAAAGCGGATGGACAGTCCATGGACGGCCCATGGTGGGTCCACACAAGTAGGCAAAGAGCATGGCGTGCCCCCCCCCCCTTCAGAATTTCTGCGCACGCCACTGGTCTCTCTGGACGGGGTGCTCCGCATGGGTGTGAGGGGCGGCGGTTTGGCCGAACCTACATGGGCTGCGACACTGGGATGCGCGTCGCGTCGCGGCGACGCGGTGCTCGGCCGAGCCAGGCCGCCGCCCCGGGGGTTTGTTCCCTCAAAGGAGCCGTTCGGGCGGACGGCGAGCCAAGTCCTGTCGTCCCGCCGCTACAATTAAACTTCCGCCGAGGGCAGAGCGAGAAGGGGGGGGGGGGGGGGACGAGAGCAAGAGAAAGACCCATTCGTTTGCAGCAGCGCTGCCTGCGTACGCAAGCAGACTGATCCAGAGGGTCGTTGTCGTGGCTCAGTTTCTCTCGCACTCATAGGGCGTCCCGTGTAAGTGCGAGAGAGACAGAGCGACGAAAACGGCTCTCGGAATCAGTCTACAGCTCCACGTTCAATGGCTGCTGGGCAGATGGATCCCGCGACAAAATCGACTTCGCCACTCGACGTCGACGAGTCGACTCTTCGGGTGCGGCGCCGGCGAGCCGCGGGGGTAGTAGTGGTGCTGCGGCCCGCGGGGGAGGGGGAGGGGGAACCGGGAGGGGGAGGGGGAACCAGGAGGGGGAGGGGGGAGGGGGAGGGGGGAGGGGGGAGGACGCAGTACAGTACCGACGGGGACGGTGCCTGCGGTTTCGCGTGCGTCATAAGGGACAGTGGGATTTGACGCCCCCTCCCCCCGCCCCAGGAGTAGAGGGAAAGAGGGGGAGGGGGGAGAGGGGGTCTTGACTCACCTGGCATGTGGCGTGGCGTATTGTAGTGCCTTTCTCTGACGGCACGTGACGCCACGCCGCGCCGCACCAGGCGGCCCCCTTCCACTTGCCATAATCGCCAGCGCATTAGCTATTATTGGCAGAGCAGAGATTCCATCCTTCCGCGTCCCCTGCGTCTCTCTCCCTCCCCCCCTCTCTCTCTCCCTCTCTCTTCTCTCTCTCTCTCTCTCTCTCTCTCTATCTCTTCCCCCGGTTTCCCCCTTTGCCGGCGGTTGTGGCGGGTACAGGGGAAATGGCATCTGTGCCGAGATAATCAATCTTGTTTGCGGGCGATTAGAGTTCCTTTAGCCGCCAAGGCGGGCAGGGCGGCGGCCGGGGCCCGGGACGCCCGGGACGGGGCCGGGCTGCTTCACAACAGAGTCTGCGTCCGTCTCTCTCGCACCCCAACGGGACCGTGCGGGACGCCCCGCGAGTGCGACGGAGACAGAGCGACGCGCGAAAGAGCGGCCGCGCCGTTCGGAATGACGGAGGAAGCCGGCCGGGGAGATAAGGGGGAAACGGGAAGGAAGGGGCGGGCGGGAGGGGAGGGGGAGGGGGCGGTGGGACGCAGGGATGTACACCGTTTCCTCGCCTCTAAACCTGCCCTCGCAAACAACGCGGGCAACCGAAAGGCAGACACCCCCTTCCAGCCCCCTTCGCCCCTTGCTCCAGTGCGTCACTGTCACCCCCATTTTCCGACGGCCCGACGGCTCTAGCGACGCTCTCCGCTGTCACACACGGAGGGAAATACTGTCCAATAGCCATCGGGGGAGAGAGAGAGAGAGAGAGAGGGGGGGGGGGGGCGACCGGGGAAGGAAAAGAAGGACGGGTTTCGATTTATAGAGTCCGGTCCAAACGAACAACGGGGCCGCTATCTCTGTCTCACTCGCACCCAAACGGCGCACCCCGTGGGTGCGAGAGAGACAGAGATAGCGGGATGAGGCCGTGCTTCTGCAGGTGGCAGGTGCGAGGGCGCGTATACGGCCGTGGAGGCAGCGTGAGATATGCGAGTGCCCGAAACCGAAACAACAACAAAAACAGCAACCGGAGAAAAACGCGTGGAAAAGCCCGCACACGTATCCCCGGCACGCACGTTAGCGGTGTCGTCCGCTGCCGGCCCCGAACCGCACCGCACCGGCCGCCTCGCCCAGCCAATTAACAGATTCTCCTCATCACGGCACGAAGGGGGTTGGGGCCGCGAGGGCGAAGGGGGGTAGCGATAACGTCGTTCCGTCGTCGCCGCGGCGAGGCGGGCAGTGCCCGGCCGAGTGTTTGGGCGTGCGAGCAACGCGCCGTGTCGCAGCGACCCCAAGCGGGGCTGCCCCCCCGCGGCCCCCCGTGGGGCGCAGCGGCGCAGCAATACAGCAAGCTCTAAACCGGCAATAAGCGACATTATTCGACACAAAACCGACAAAGAGGGAAACAAATCCCAAGCCGTTTTCAACGCGCGCTGCAGGTGGGGGGAGGGGGTCGAAGAAGCTTCGGAACGCACTTTCAGGATTTTCCCATTCATTTTTAAGAGAGGGGTGGTGCAGGGAGGTTGAAAAAGTAGACACAAAAATTCTCCATGGGGAAAACGCGCGCTGGCGTGCCTGGCGGAGCGGCGCTGTGCGCGGCAGTGTGCCTCCAGGGGGTTGGTCGGCCGGCCCGCGCACGCAGCACACGGCACACCATTATGAACACTCCGCCGTTGCGCCGTCTCTCTCGCACACTCATGGGGCGGCCCACGAGAGCGAGAGAGACAGAGCGACGATACGACTCCACCGAATCGCTCGCCTGGCGCCGCCGCCGCCAACAACACCGTCGGAAAACCAACCGGCACCCAAACACTAGGGTAAATCCACTCTGAAATTCCAGAGTGTATGTCTGAGTTTTAGAGTTTCAATTAGAGTTCCAGAGTTCCTGTCAAGAGTTACAGAGTTTATGCCAGAGTTGCAGAGTTCCTTTCAGAGTTTTAGAGTTAACTCAGAGTTTGAGAAATTTAAATCAGAGTTCCAGAGTTTGTACTCTCAGAGTTTTTGAATCCTTTTCTGAGTTTTAAATTCCATCCAGAGTCTGAAAAGCTGTTCAGAGTTTCAGAGTCGCGCTTGAAGGGTTTTGAGTCTGATTTTAGCAGAGTGGTGTTCAAATGGCAAGGGTCTAAATCGAAAAATTACCGGAATTTCGATTGAAAATTTTTTATGCAGCATCTACCACAAATTTTGTAGGGCCCTTTTAATTTTATTAAAATTGGAAACCTTTTTTTTTGCTATCTCGTGAACCGTTGGTGGTAGCACAAAATGGATCGCGGATTCGGATCGAACTCGGTTCCACGACCCCTATAACATTGTCATGATCTTTAAAAAAAAATGTTGGGTGGAGATAATGACACTTTAAGTTGACTCTGAACCTCTGGAACTCTCATTATTCCTGTCTAAAACCTGATTATGTCACTCTGAAGATCGAATGGCACTCTGGAACTCTAACTCTGAGGGGCCGAAATTTTTTGCAAATTTCTCAGGGTTGCTGGTCCAGAGTTTTGTAAACTATAAAATGTCAGAGTGGGTAACTCGGGGTTTTCAGAGTGGATTTACCCTAGTGAAGGGCACGGGGAACCCGAAAAAAAAATTAAAAAACCCCGCGGCGGGGGATTTCTCCCTATTCTGCACCGGTCGGGGCCCTAGGGGGAGAGGAAGGGGGAGAAAGGAAAAAGGAAAAGAGAGGGGGAGGGGGAGGGGGGGGGAGAGAAGAGAGAAGAAAAAAGAGGGGGAGAAAGAGAGGGGAGAGAGAGAGAGTAGGAGGGGGAGAGAGGGGGGAGAGAGAGAGAAAAAGAGGAGAGAGGGAGGGGGAGAGGGGGAGAGGGAGAGAGAGAGAGAGAGAGGGGAGAGAGAGAAAAGGGGGAAAGAGGAGGAGGAGAGAGAAGAAGGGGGGAAAGGGGAGAGAGAGGGAGAGAGGAGGGGGAGAGAAGAGAAAAAAAGAGGGGGAGGGGGAGAGAGAGAGAGGGGAGAGAGAAAAAGGGGGGGGAGAGAGAGAGAGAGAGAGAGAGAGAGAGAGAGAGGAGAGAGAGAGAGAGGTGGTCGGAACATGTTTGCGCGAACCCGCACCACCGTGATTCAACGTATCTGTTTTCCGATTCCGCTCGCCTCGCCCCTCAAAGGAAATATTTTCCTCCCCCGCAACGTGCATCGCACACCGCCACCCGCCGCAGAAATGAGGAAACCAAATGGGCCGAAAAAAGGGGGGGAAAAAATGGAAAATAAATATAAATGAGCGATCCAAGCGAGTGCGGCGAGGTTTTGCCCCCTGCAAGGATCCGTCCCACCCGCCCCCCCTCCCCCCCCCCGCCTCACCCTGCCCCCCTCACCCGCCCCCCTCACCCTGCCCCGCCTCCCCGCCCCCCCCTCCCCGCCCCCCCCTCACCCTCCCCGCCTCACCCTGCCCCGCCCACCCTGCCCCCCCTCACCCCGCCCCGCCTCACCCCCCCCCCTCACCCTGCCCCGCCTCACCCTGCCCCGCCTCACCCCGCCCCGCCTCACCCTGCCCCGC